AAAAAAAAAAAGGAAACAAAGTCTTTGCAAATAGGGAAGGGTGGAGGGGGTGAAGGGAGGCCTGGGGAAGGGGAGAAAAATAAGAACCAAGATACTCATGTAATGGTACAAGATCCCAATGATGAATGTAACTATTTTATACCTAAAATGTACCAATAAACATAATGGGGGAAAAAAAAGATGATTAGGAGAAGTGACCAAACACACTTTCAGAAAATGTTAGTCAGCCTGAGAACACCAAGATACGTTGGGGAAAAAAAAATACTAAAACTACTGGTATGCTGGTATATTTATCCCCCAAAATGAATGATTTTGGAAGAAATATGCATCATTTTGTATCTCTTCTTTCCACAGCTTCCTAAATGAGTTGGTGAGGTCCTGAAGATACAGATCACTTGACTGATATTGTTCTAGTGTCTGGCATATTGGGGCATGACTGTTTTGGGGATGAATTAACATTATCATTATATTAAGAGCCTACTTAGAAACTATTAAAAATAATTACCTCTGAGCTTGTATAGGTTTCATACATTATGCATATGTTGCCCATCGCTTCTCGGCCTTTTGGCTAAGATCAAGTGTAGTGTTGCCCATCACATTCAAAGAGCTTTATAAATCTAGTTTTTTTTTTTAACCATGGGGTAGAGGTGTGGTATAGATGCTAATGATTAATTTTGTTTTAAAATGTGCAGTTTTACATGTTTAAAAAGTGAAATCTTAATATGTTTAAATAAACTGTTAAATTTTAGTTACTGTAACATTTTATATTAATGTAACTTCTCAGGCACCATAGTTAGCTGCTTCCAGGGTAGTCTTTGTTTGTTGCTTTATCTTTTTGATGTGTAATTTAAGTCATATATGACTTCCTTAGTACTTACTTTAGAAAAATGTTTTTGGAGTTTTTTGACATTTAATATATGAAGAAGTTTTACATGTGCTCTGTTTTAATCCTTAAAATTAAGAATTAAGGCTTATTAATTCACTGTTTTGTAATTTTTGCCACTGCCTCAAACCTTTTTTTCCCTCTACAGTACACTACTTTCTGTATAACCCCACCAAAAGCATCAGCCAGACGTTTGGTTTGATATCTGTGTTATATAAACAAGCAATAATTACTTTCATTGTTCTAGATTCGTAAACAACAGAAAGAGCATGCTGAGTTGATTGAGGATTATCGCATCAAGCAGCAACAGCAGCAGCAGCAGCCGCCGCCGCAACGTGCAGTGGCCCCACCTCTTCTAATGCCTGGCGTCCAGCCCCAGCCACCCCTTGTTCCAGGTGCCACTCCACCCTCCATGGGCCAGCCCAGCTTCCCAATGGTGGCACAGCAGTTGCAGCACCAGCAGCACACAGCAGTCATCTCTGGCCACACCAGCCCTGCTAGAATGCCTAGTTTACCTGGATGGCAGCCTGCCAGTGCCACTGTTCACCTCCCCCTCAACCCTCCCAGGATTCAACCCCCGATTGCCCAGTTACCCATAAAAGCTTGCACACCAGCCCCAGGGACAGTGTCAAATGCAAACCCACAGAGCGGTCCACCACCACGAGTAGAATTTGATGACAACAACCCCTTTAGTGAAAGCTTTCAGGAACGAGAACGCAAAGAACGTTTACGAGAACAGCAGGAAAGACAACGCATCCAGCTGATGCAAGAAGTAGACAGACAGCGAGCTCTGCAGCAGAGGATGGAAATGGAGCAGCATGGCCTGATGGGCTCTGAGCTGGGCAGCAGGACTGCTGTGTCCCAGATTCCATTCTACGGGTCTGATCGGCCTTGTGATTTCATGCAGCCTCCGAGACCCCTTCAGCAGTCTCCACAGCACCACCAGCAGATGGGCCAGGTTTTACAGCAGCAAAATGTACAACAAGGATCGGTCAATTCATCCCCCACTCAAACTTTCATGCAAACCAATGACCGAAGGCAGGGGGGACATCCCTCCTTTGTTCCTGATTCACCGTCGGTCCCTGGTGGAAGCCCAAACTTCCACTCTGCTAAGCAGGGACATGGAAGTCTTTCTGGAACAAGTTTCCAGCAGTCCCCTTTGAGACCTCCGTTTGCACCTGCTTTACCAGCAACACCCCAGGTAGCTAATAGTCTCCCATGTGACCAAGACCCTGCTGTTGCCCATGGACAAAGCTATCCAGGATCAGCCCAGTCTCTCATTCAGTTGTATTCTGACATTATCCCAGAAGAAAAAGGGAAAAAGAAAAGAACAAGAAAAAAGAAAAAAGAGGATGATGCAGAATCCACCAAAGCACCGTCAACTCCCCATTCAGATATAACTGCTCCCCCAACTCCAAGCATCTCAGAAACTACCTCCACTCCTACCATGAATATGCCCAGTGACCCTCCTCCGCAGGGTGAATCAGAGCCTGCAGAGCCAGCTGGCCATCCATGTACAGAGTTAGAGAACACACTACCCAGTGGTGATTTCTCCCAGGGAACTCCAAGCCAACATACTTGTGCAAATTCAGAAGTGGAAAACCTCCCCATGGGAACTCCTGCCAGAAGTGAAGAGATAAAACTGGAAAAGGCTGAGACAGAGCCAGGGCTGGGTCAGGAGGAGACTAAATCAGAAGAGCAGACTGGTAGTAAGGTGGAAGATAAGTCTGGGGCCAGTCCTGTCTCCTCAGTCCAGAGTCCACCTCATTCTGCTGGGGCCCCTGTCAGCAAAGCAGATTCAGGGAATGAGCTTTTGAAACACTTGTTGAAAAATAAAAAGTCGTCTTCCCTTTTAAATCAAAGACCTGAGGGCTGTTTCTGTTCAGAAGACAACTGCACAAAGGATAATAAAATGGTGGAGAAGCAGAATCCAGCGGAAGGATTGGTAAGTGTGAATCGTGGAAACTACAAGGTTCTTTTTCTTTTGCTTTTAATTGTACCTATATCAGACTAGTACCAGCAACTTACTTATTTCAAAACTATTCTGGAGCCTTTTTACATTTTTATTTTGTTGCTTCTTTCTCCATGGAGCCCATGGTTTTACTCATATTCATAAACTAAATTAATTTGTTTACTGTTCTAAAAAAACATTCCAGTTCATGTGTAGCATGTGCCTTTTAGCAGGTTATAACATTAATCTAATCAAAGCAAAGGAAATAAATGTTGAATGTACCTTTATTGTATGTAAATAAATGTGCAACTTCCATTGACCTCTTTTAAATATAGAAAATAGCTCTGCACCCCTGTTAATATTCTGGAGGGATCATCCACACTGGGACTCTGTTATGTCACAGTGTATTGATATTAACGTTACAAAATGTAACCTTACATGTAGATAATATTTCATCTTTGTAGTGTTTTATGTATCAATATTTACCCATTTTAAGTTATTAACATTGAATTTGCCTTTATTTTTTCATTTGTATGAAGAGCTTAATTATAAATATACTTATCGCTTCTCGGCCTTTTGGCTAAGATCAAGTGTAATTATAAATATACTGTCACAAAAATACCTTTCCCCCAACACCATTTCATTTAAGTAAGGTGTTTCATTCAGTAAGGTGTTTTATTCAGTAAGGTGTATTAAAAACAGGTTTCTGGATCCTGGGAATTGGTCTGCTGGTTAACCTAAGGTTCAGAGCCATTGCTAGTACATTTATAAGGCTTTCCCTGGGCTGGTTCTCAGGCTGGGTTTTGTCATTTTCACATTTATTGAATAGGGGTGGTGCACCTAGTTGTCCAGATTTGGAATTTTAAAATTAGCTGGGAAGCTCCTCATTGTGCAGGTGTTGGCACAATATTGTCTTTGCCCAAGTAGATACATGTCACTTTTGTAAATTTTGGTAATTCTGCTTTTCCAGTCATACTTGGCACCAGCAAATGTGCTCATCTGTCTAGACCAATCTCTGGCCACTTTGTCCAGGACAGCTTTTGTCCTAGGAATTTGGAACAGTTTGCAGTCCCTTGAGTGTCTCTGTTTTTACCCTTCCACATCTAGCTGTACTGTATGGTTACTCCCTTCACTGTTCTCCCTTCTTTTCTGGCCAGTGTCCTTATTTGTAAAACTCACTTTTGGAATCAGTTCTGCAGATACCTTCCTCAGCTCTGCCAGTTCTGGGTACACGCTGATGCCCTGTGCACACAGCACAACTTACATGGCTCCACGAAGGGCAGACTGCACCTGGAGCATCTTATCACTAAAAATATGTGCTGTACAAGAATGTCTGCTGGCATGGGGAAACAACCACATGTCAAGTTGAAAAGCAGACACCAAAATGAAAGAATACAAGGTTGTGATCGCTTATGATTTAAAAAAAAAATATGTAGGCATAGATTAAAATAATTGAAAAGAAACATATTCGAGGTTAACTTTTTTTTTTTTTTTGGTACTGGGGATTGAACTCGGGTCCTGGAGCTTGTGAGACAGGTGGCGGAACCACTGAGCTAAATCCCCGGCCCTAAGGTTAACATTTTATCTGTGGCAGATTTTTAATCCTTTTTGCTCTTCCATGATGAAGTATTCTTTGAAATGTAGTTACATCTTCCTTTTAGGATACTAGTGAGGATGAAAGATAATGTTTGTAAAGCAATTAAAGTACCCAACCCATACATACTTAATATGCCTCATTATCTCTATAAGCCAATTAAATTCTTAAATTCACTCTCCTGTGGGAGGATTTTAAGAAATGCAGGATGTGAAGCCCCTAGAGAGCATAAGGTGTGTGTTATATCCAGATCCCAAGTGATTCATAGTCACAGGAAGTTGAGGGCACTGCTGCAGAACTGTGTGTGGCCACCTGCTGGGCAGGTTAGAGCTTCCATTGAGAGGGACGCCCCTATTCTGTTCAGTGGGTCTAGGGTGGGGCCAGAGAAGTGGCATTTCTTATCAGTCCCCGGGCGCAAACTACTCTGGAGCCTGCTGCCCTTGGAAAAAGCCAGGGATCCAGCCCAGGGATGGGAAGTCTGAGCCTGCCTCCCTCTTCCTTCTTTGTATGAGCTAAGAATGGTTTTTACACTTTTCAATGGCTGAAAAAAATCTAAAGAGTCATATTTAACTTGTAGCAGTGAAAATTATACAAAACTGAAATTTGTCTATGAATTTTAAATTTTGGGTTTTTTGTTTTTTTTTTTTTGTCCCAGGGATCAAACTCAGGACCTTGTACTTGCCAGGCAGGCGGTAGAACCACTGAGCTAAATCCCTGGCCCTGAATTTTAAGTTTTATTGCAGTGCAGCCAAAGCCATTCATTAAGAATTTGTCCAGCTATTTTTGTGGTACAGGGTTAGTTGGCCCTAGGCTAGAATCTTTACTCTCTTTGCCCTTTACATACAATTCTGTCGTCCATGCTCTGAGCTATTTAGAATATAACTAGAAAACTATAATTTTCAAAACCCCCAAAGATTCAGTGCAGAACTGATTACGTAGTACACTCAGAAGCCATAATTCTCTCTAGCAAAACATTGATGATAATTTTAGGAATAATGAAGCCTGAAAAATATTTTTGTATTTTTAGGTATTAGTAGCACTATCCTTTAAAATCTTTTCAGGGCCTGGCTTACTCTTGCTTCTTGACTATAAAGACAGAAGTAATGTATTTTGTTATCTATTTCTCTCCCATTGACATTAAGTACGTGGATATTTTAAAGTCAAATGTAGGATTGTGAGCTAATTTGAGAGACCAACGTGGTTTCTTTTTATTGGTCTCTGGGCTTGACTGTTCTCTTGCCTCAGATGCATAGGCTGAACTGTGAATTGACTCAGCAGTCCTCATATTTCACCAGTTCTCCTTCCTATGGGGAACCAAAAATAAACCACCAAAACCATGTATAGAAGCATCTCTGGCTAGGGGCACTCCTCCACTGTGCCTAGGAGCTGGACTCTGGACAGGCCCCGGTGTAGGCAGCGAGACAGGTCATGGGTGAAACTCATCCTTAGGAGCTCTACTCCTTCCTCAAGCCTGCATCTGACTGGTTTCCATGCTTGAAAATAATCCCTGAAAAAAGAGGGTAGTATTTTCAGAAGATGATCAGACTCTTCTACTGTGAATCTTCTCAACTTTTGGTACCCTGTTAGGAATATGAGTCATAAGATGGAACTGCTCTAGCATGATCTAAGCATCAAGCATGTGGATAGTTCACTTATTTCTTAACCTTTCCAATTACATTAGCAAACTATGGGGGTTCAAATGCAAGGTGGTTTTGGATGTGGCAACAATCAGTCAAAAATGGATGGAGGAAATGAAACCAAGAAACAGCGAAACAAACGAACTCAGAGGACTGGGGAGAAAGCAGCACCTCGCTCAAAGAAAAGGAAAAAGGATGAAGAGGAGAAACAAGCCATGTATTCCAACTCTGACTCCTTCACTCACCTGAAACAGGTTAGTCTTTTAGAGTAGCCTCTTTAAAACTTGCAGGAAATAAGAGCAAATGTTTCTTCAGCCATGTAAAACTGAAACTTTCTCTCCTCCTTATTGTAATAATTTCCTGGTTAGAAAGTTAGGGGATATAGGACATCTGGACGTGGAACCTAATAATATACTTCCTGTTTCTAAGCAAAATTGCACCTTATTGACACTTAAAATTTATAGTACTGTGAATGGATTGGCAGGTGATGGTCAAAATTTACTGAAGTTCAGGGCGCCAGGGATTTAGCTCAGAGGTCCTGAGTTCAATCCCCAGTACCAAAAAAAAAGATTTTCTGAAGTTTAAAAGGAGCAGCCTCAGTACCAGTACACACTTTGTCCCCATTTCTTATGACTCTGGATCCAAAGAAATGAAACCACAGGGCCCTCCCCATCTTCTCAGTTCTTGAACCCTTACGGTTGTTACCGAAGGGAGAGACAGCCCCTAATCACCATCAGCAGTGCCTGCTCTCAGCATGTGCGTTGTTCTTCCTAGCAAAGAGGAGCATGTTTTTCTTGTGAGCCACCAGGTGCATCCCTTTAGGACAGATGGGAGCACAGCTTCCTGGGAAGTGTAGCTCAAGAGATTCTGTAGTTTCTCTCTCTCTCTCCAGCATTTTGCTGTATGGAATTTTTAACTCTTGTTTTTCTCAAGACTTGTTTGACTAAGTTGCTTCAGATCTTAGGAAGTTGAGAAACACTCAGTTTTGTTTATCATGTACATTACTTTTAAATGTGTTTTTTAATAGCAGCTCTCTCTGCTCCCTCTAATGGAACCAATCATTGGAGTGAACTTTGCGCACTTTCTTCCTTATGGCAGTGGCCAATTTAATAGTGGGAATCGACTTCTAGGAACTTTTGGCAGTGCGACCCTTGAAGGGGTTTCGGACTACTATTCTCAGTTGATCTACAAGGTATGTTGTTTTGCCAGGTGTCACCTTGGTCCATCTCTGGATGCCTTGTCACAATTGCTAGAGCATGTCTTTTGCATCTAGTGTACCTCAGCTTCCGGGTCTCACTAAAATTTAGTTCAGCTATAAGCTTAAGGTTTTACCTGGTGAAATGTTCCTAACATGAACATTTGAAACTTTATAGGTAAGAATTCAAATTGTGAGAAATACACATATGTTTCCATTGTAGAGGAAACATGTGTTTCCTTATAGCCTTCACTAACATAAAACGAATCCAATTCATAGTTAATTGTGAAGAAAAAATGGAATTAGGCTTTTACCTTGAAAAATGACATTATAAAGTTATAATGATGTAGGTACTAATTGCAAGTACACACAAATTCCTAGACTATTGGAATAGTATAGAGCCAATTCAAGATTATCTTTTGGTGTCACTTTTCTAAAGTTTTACGTTAGCATCATAAGTTCACATCTGACTTACGTAAAAAAATCATTTTTACAAAATATATGAGGGTATCATATATCATATATTTCCCGAGGGCTTCTCTTCTGACTTTTAATATGAAAATAATTCTCTCCATGTTTCTTTTTTGTTCTTGTGGGCTGTTTTTCAGTTAGAACTCATCTCAGTGCAAGCTATGCTTCAGTCTCAGGTCATTGTCCTTAGGAAAGCCTGCCATCGCAAGACTTGTCATTTCATCTTGTATTTGATTTGTATGGTAGTAGTGGTAGATTCCAGCACCCCTTCAGAGACTAAAATCCATGATAAATTGGTGACAAATATTAACCTAGGAGAAATGTTTGCAAAGATCTGCATTTGTTAATACATATATTTAATCCTTTTTGTATTGTTGTTGCTCCTTTTACTTCTTGTAGACATCTTAATCCAGATTCTAATATCTGAGACATGAATTGCAATTACTCGTTTAGGATTACAATTTCTTCAGTTTTTCATACAATGAGAATTATCTTACTGAAAATTAAATAAAGGAATTTTTGAGAACTTTTTACAATTTGATTGTATTTTAAAGTTATTTTTCACTAGCTGTTGTAACTGAAACTTGAAAAGAATTGCATAACAGAATCAATGGGAATTTGATTTTCATTTGAAAGCTAAGTACTCAAGCTAGGTCAAGTAAACAAATGGATAATAATATATCCACAGAGTTATGAGTAGTTGTTCTAAAAACTTCCTGGCCTTGTATGTGTATTTTTCTTTTTGGTGTACATTTGGGAATGAAGATGCATCTTGATTACGTTTCTGTAGCCTTGCTTCCATGTGTTAAAAACTCACAGAACTAGGTTTTACAGGGTCATTGCATATTTGATCAGTAGCATATAATTTAAAATTTTTTGGTCTCCTGCAGCAGAATAATTTAAGTAATCCTCCAACACCCCCTGCCTCTCTTCCTCCTACACCACCTCCTATGGCTTGTCAGAAGATGGCAAATGGTTTTGCGACAACTGAAGAACTTGCTGGAAAAGCTGGAGTGTTGGTGAGCCATGAAGGTATGATCCATAGCCTCTGTTTTACACTGTTGAAGAATGTGCCTCTGCCAGCTGTGTGGTGGAGTGGCTTAGAACGCAGAGTTCTACCTGCTTATCATCTTTGACTGAACATAACTTCTGATTTTGCGTGTTTGGTTTTCAGTTACCAAGACTCTAGGATCAAAGCCATTTCCACTGCCATTCAGGCCACAGGACGACTTGCTGGCCCGAGCTATTGCTCAGGGCCCAAAGACAGTGGATGTTCCAGCTTCGCTTCCAACACCACCTCATAATAACCAGGAAGAATTAAGGTAGAAGCTACTTTTTTCTCAAACAGTTTTTAGTGATTTTTAAATGTATTTAGCATCATGCGTATAGAAATAGTGTGTAAAAACACTGAGAGGTAAAATTTGGTAATATTCTTAAAAATATAAATTTTATAACATTGTCACTATTAAACATAATTAATTTGTACCTTTTAAAAATACATAATTTAGTGAGTTCAGCATATGATTATAGAATAGACATTAAGACAATAGAAAATCTCTGTGCAAAGTATTTTAAAGAACATTGTCCTTCAAGAGTGTTAGCGTGATTTATTGGATTTACTGTTGTTCATAGGTGTCTAGAAAGAAAGTACGATAGTCACAGATGCCAGAGTGCTGCTATGGAAGAAAGATACTCCTGTGCAGATACTTTGTAACCAATTTGTATAAACTGCTTCACATTTTTATCTCTACCTTAGAAAATCTGCTCTCCTTATTGATGAGATACCCATTTAATCTAAGTCCCATATTTTATCAAGAAAACTATGGACCCAATTGAGGAGCAGCTAGTCCAGGTTTGGAATCTAGGCCTCCTTTTTCTTCTGCTCACTGCTGGGAATCCCCAACACATCAGTAGGCAGCATTGCTCTCTGCAGCAGCTGTGGGAGGCAGCTTGCTCAGTGTATGTGTGGTGACCTAGCTCAGGTGAATGTGTGGTGACCTAGCTCAGGTGAATGCTCCTCCCCTGGATTTCACAGGACACTTTGGTCTCATCAGCATGACCAGGAGCAAATTGAGAAGAATAATCTGCAGCTCTTAGCCTGAGACCTCAGCGTTGCTCCACTAAGCTTGAGCCTTGGACTAGATAAAAAGGACTGCTCTTTCTCACCTTTTAAAATCAGTTCAGAACAACAAGTGCCTACAAAGCCACAACAACCAGTGTTTCCCCCATCTTTCGACTCACTGTAAGCAGCAGCAACAGGACAGCTGTTTTCACCGCCAGTTGCATGCAGATGTGATGCTGGGTGTATGCATAGGGCCTACGCTGTTTTTGTTGGAGCAGCAGGAGGCTGGCTTCCTTTAGGCTCAGTGCCCTGGGATTTTGCAGAGATGTTAGTATTCGTCCTTTCTAGGTTATGTTATGAACTGAACAGCTTCCTCTTTAGTAGGTCTTTAAACTATGACGCTAAAAGTTTGGTCATACAAAACAACCATTTATATTATAGCTAAACCTGACTACTGTATTTCTTCCAGGAGATTTCTGTTTACTGATTTCCCAACTGATTAATTTGCTCCTTCTATTAATGATGTTGTGGGACTTGTGTGGTTGGTGCATAAAGCCCCTCTGCTGGGTTTGCATGCTGTGATGTGTGTGTTCCTCTTCTAGGATACAGGATCACTGTGGTGACCGGGACACCCCTGACAGCTTTGTCCCCTCATCCTCTCCTGAGAGTGTGGTTGGGGTGGAAGTGAGCAGGTATCCGGATCTGTCAGTAGTCAAAGAGGAGCCTCCAGAGCCAGTGCCATCGCCCATCATTCCAATTCTTCCTAGCACCACTGGGAAGAGTAAGAATACTTTGCCCTGCTACCTGCCAATGTACTAATATAAATATTTTGACCTCAAAAAGCCATCAACACACCTTTCTTTTTCTTTTTTTCTTTTTGAGGTTCAGAATCAAGAAGGAATGACATCAAAACTGAGCCAGGCACTTTATTTTTTTCATCACCTTTTGGTTCATCCTCAAATGGTCCCAGATCGGGTCTAATATCTGTAGCAATTACCCTGCATCCTACCGCTGCTGAGGTAAAAGAAGAAATGACTTCTTAATGCTATGGAGTATGTTGTGTTGTTAAAAGAGATCTCAGTGGCTAACAGTGAACCATAGGTTGCAGGGTCAGTGAGGACAAAAATCAGGGTAGAATGGATAGTCACTTGGGATATAGAGGCTGCTTTTGAGTACTGTCATTAAGCATGAGATTGATCTTGGCCTAAGTCAAGGCAGAAGGGGAAGTTAGCACTCACACATTCTTATTAAAGGGTATATAATTTAGAGAACTCTTTAAAGAGAAAACTTTTCATAACTGATACACTTATAGAAAATGAACCACTGAGAAAGTATCAACAATAAAAATTACAGAAGCATGAGGAATGTTCTTCAGGCAGTAGCTGCTCATGCCAAAAACTACTAATTTGCTGAGGATTTTTTTTAACTTTGAATTCTGCAAAGACATTAGAGATGGAACTCATGGTACAATGGCATGACATTCTGATTGTCCACAGAAAACAGCATTCACATGACATTTGTGCATTCTTGTGTACTGTTTCAGACCTTTAGTGAGAGCTGTCTTATAAAAGCCTGTGGAGTAGGTACTATGGCCCTGAAAACTGACAGGGTTAGCTCAGCCTTTGTGGTTGTGCCCTTTACTCCTGTCCGATGTTAAACAACTAAACTAGGTGAATATGTCCCCAAATATTTTATGTTAATGGGAATCTCTTTCTGCAGATTTCTGTTATGAAAGTTTTACTTTTGTATTTGCCCATTTAAACAGAAATTTCCCGTAAGTCCCGAAGGTCAAATAAAAAAGTTGTTGGGTTTTCTTACACTGCGTGTGTCATGCAGGTCACATTTATCCTACCCATGTGTTTCTCTTCCGTGACTCACTTTGCCTTTGGGGTTGGTAACGGAGTATTTGTTTTGTTTTAGAACATCAGCAGTGTTGTGGCTGCATTTTCCGACCTTCTTCACGTCCGAATTCCTAACAGCTATGAGGTCAGTAATGCTCCAGATGTTCCACCTATGAATTTGGTCAACAGCCATAGAGCAAACCCAGGTTTGGAGTACCGACCGCATTTACATCTCCGTGGGCCTCCACCAGGATCTGCAAACCCTCCCAGGCTAGCAAGCTCTTACCGGCTGAAGCACCCTAATGTTCCATTTCCTCCAGCAAGCAGTGGTGAGCTGGTAGCTTTTTATTAATCCCAAATCCATTCTTGATTGAAAAGTTAAGCGTACTCTTCTTGAAATTGCAATTTCATCTTTAACAAGTAGTGAGCAATACATTAGTGCATGACCCTTGGTAAACAAAGCTCCTTTGAGTGTTCTGTTTTCTGGGGTGTTGATGTGACTTTCCCTGCTTTGAGAAACCCTGTCATGCTCCCAACCAGGAAGTGTTGGAATGCAGCTCTCTACCTGCCTTGCTACCCTTAAGCAGCTCTGCCCTTTGCATCCCTGAGCCCAGTTCACTGTCTGATGACTCCACCAGAGCAGATGAGGCTGGCTACCTGGAGTGTATTGTGTCTTCTTGTTCTCTGCCGTGTGTCCCTTGTACCACCTCCCACAAGGACCCTCTCTTCCCCTGGGGGCTCTCATGCCCCTACCTCTGAGACTCACCTGGCCTTCTTCAAGCCACTGTGCTGTCTCATTGGCATCTCACGTCTGTGCTCTGGGACCAGCCCCACTTCCTCACCATCTCCCAACTCACCAGTTCCCTTATAATCCTCTCTGTCTTTTTTTTTTTTTTTTGAGGTTCCCCCAAAATGCTCTGTTAAGACAAAGGTGGGGGAGGGGCAGGGAAGGCTTGTTCACCCCAGGGACTGAAGCCCCACACACACACACACCCTGCAGCCACCCAGCTGGTTCAGTGCACTGCAGGGAGGGCGTCCTGGGCTCCAGGCAGAACTGCTGGGCCGAGAGCAGGCAGGGTGCGCGTCGCTTTCCACATGCAGCGAATCCTCTCTTTCTTTATCCTTCAAGAATCTAGCAGCTTCTCAGTTTTCACCTTTGAACTTTTGGCAGTTGCCTGTGTTGGAGTTTTGAAGTCTTAGCCTCTAGCTCCTTCTGTTGCTCATGTTTTTTCTGCCTCCTTCCTTCTCTTTTGGCACCCTGGCTGAGTGATGCTCTCTGAGGAGACCCTATGCCTTCTAATCCCTTATTTACATTTACCTTGGGCCTAGATCTTTCCTTATGTCTCTTTGATATTTGAAGGCCCACTACTTAAATCTTACACACATTTCTCTTATCTTCCATAGAATGTTTCAGTTCATCTGACCCCAGAGCAACAGCAGTCTCTCTTCTCCATGGCTCACTGTGCTTGGACTCAGCATTAATATACCTTAGTGACTTAGTCTTATGAGATTCTTTGTTGCTAGCATTATTTTCCCAGCAGTTTGAGAATAGGCATATTTCTTTATTGGTACCCCATTGTTTCATAATAGATCCTTGTCACCATCACTTAGAAGAGACTTTTATTAAAGAACAGTATAAATTAGAGAGCCATGTTGTAATAGGTTGCTACGCATAATGTTACACCAGCACCACCTGTGTCATTACTAACCCAGTGGGTTGCCTGTAGGTCTCTCTGGATACAAGGATTCCAGTCACGGTGCTGCAGGAAATGCAGCGCTCCGACCACAGTGGTGTTGTCACTGCAAAGTGGTTATTTTTGGAAGTGGTGTTCGGAAGTCTTTGAAAGATCTGGCTTTTATGAACAAGGTACTGCATGTTGTTTTCTAACCAACCCCACCTCCACAGGATGTGTCCGTCAAAGAGGGGAGGGGGTCCTTCACGGTACAGGATGGGCCCATTTCTGCCGGTTAGGGTCAGCACAAGTTACAGTGCTCGGGCTTGAAGCCAGATCATGGCAGCAGACTGTTCCATTGCTTGTGATAAGGACCCTTAACCTTTCGTAAAACACTGAAGAGTAGACAGTAGAGTTTGCACATTGTGCTAACTCTTGGGACATAGATACCATCTTACTGTAGGACAGAGGACCCTTCCCATTTGTCAACATAAAAATCAAGTGTGTAGGGCTGGGGATTTAGCTCAGTGGCATCGTGCCTGCCTGGCAGGTGCAAGGTTCTGAGTTTAATCCTTGGTGGGGGGAGGGGGGGGAATCAAGTGTGTAGATCTGTTTTTATTACATTGTGACTTGAGATTTCCCACTCATTTCTCTTTGTTTTTCAGGATTCCCAAGAAAGCACCAAGAGAATGAAGCAGGACATTGTCTTTTGCAGTAATAACTGCTTTATTCTTTATTCAACTGCGCAAGCAAAAAACCCAGAAAGCAAGGTAAAATTAGGACATCTCAGCTCAGTGATATATAACTAGTGATTTCTGTGTTCTGGGTACACATTAGTGAATAAAACAGATGTGTGCCCTGCCTCAGCACACTACGTTTGGGAGCTCCTAAGCAATGCTGATCAGGTGGATAAAGAGGGATCAGAAATAGCCATGGCCTATGCTGCTCTTCCAAACTCAGGAAGGTGTTTGACCATAGTAGGTGGTCAGTCGCAGATTACATTTTAAAAGTTCAAAGTTGAATAGAACACCAATACTACAATCTTAAACTTGACTAATCATAAATATTTTAATTAACAATTAAAATTGTTTTTATTGATCTTACCTCAGTAGGAAAACCTGTTCAGAAACAGAACTTCAGTCTGTTCATGCATTAGGATAAAAAGCATTTTTTTTCACCCTAAGCTGCTTTGCTTGATTTTGTGTGATTTAAGTGTATCCAAGTATGTAGTTGATATAGCTGATACATTTTTAATTGTTTTGAAGGAAATTTTTTCCTGTTGAGTGATATGCCAGTCATTTCTCCTCCAGATAATTTCTTTAATGTATCTTTCTCAGAAAAATGAACTGCAGACACTTAATTTCTAACAAGCGGCAGTCCTCTACAATAATAAACCCAAGCTATTTGGCAGAGAAATTTAGACTTTACAATGCAGCAGCCTAGATGAGAAGTGGTTTTTCATCAGGTAGATTCTCAAGCTGTGTGTAGTGGCTGCCCACTTCTGACTTTTTCAGATACCTTCTAGGACAGGCTTGAGTGAATGGTAGTTTTGGTGATGATGAAGATAGCCTTTGACATACATGAGGGAAGCAAGAGGAGTTGCCATCTGCTGGCAACAGGGAGCCCCCTTTTTTTGCACACTGTCACCTGTTGATCAAGCCTGAGATGAACAGACGAGAATTTCAGGGTGTGGAGATAAGCTCTTAGCAGATGAGATTGCCATATTTTCAAAAAACACTACTCCATTGTACAAATTAAATGAGCTAGGTCCTCTTACAGCATTGGTTTTTCTGGCTTAGTTAGAAAGGGAGATGTCCACAGTTTAAGAGCAGAAAATTCTGATGTGTAGAGAGAATTGCCCTGATTGCTCTATCCAGACTTAGCTGCTGAGATACTCAGAATCAGCTTTCTCTATGCCTGAACCCTGCTGCCTTCTCTCCTCTCCCTCTCTTCCCACCTTATCCTCTCTCCCTGCCTTTCTTCTTCCCTCTCTCCTTCTCATCTGTACTGGGAACTAAACCCAGGGGCTCTTGCCACTAAACTACATCCTCAACTCTTCATTGTTTTGTTGGAGGCAGAGTCTTGCTAAGTTGCTCAAGCTGGCCTCAAACTCATGATCTTCCCACCTCAGCCTCTTGAACAGCTGGGGTTACAGGTGTGCACCACCACACCTAATGCTCACTTAGTTTTGACTCTTTCCTTAACCGTCAAGTCATATACCCTGTTAAACTATATGGTTGGCTTCCTGGTGTGACAAGAATTGCTTTTAGGGTGTGGTTTCATGGTTTCTTTTTACTGCTCAGGAATCTGTTCCTTCATTGCCGCAGTCACCTCCTAGAGAGATGCCTTCCAGAGTATTTCACCAGTATAGCAACAACATCTCCACCCTGGATGTGCATTGCCTCCCACAGCTCCAGGAGAAGGCCTCCCCACCTCCATCACCTCCCATTGCATTTCCTCCTGCCTTTGAGGCAGCCCAAGTCGAGGCCAAGCCTGATGAGCTCAAGGTGACCGTCAAGCTAAAGCCTCGGCTCAGGACTGTCCATGGCGGCTTTGACGATTGTAGGCCACTGAACAAAAAGTGGAGAGGAATGAAATGGAAAAAGTGGAGCATTCATATTGTAATCCCCAAGGGGACGTTTAAGCCGCCCTGTGAGGATGAAATTGATGAGTTTCTTAAGAAATTGGGCACTTCTCTTAAACCTGACCCTGTGCCCAAAGACTATCGCAAGTGTTGCTTTTGTCACGAAGAAGGAGATGGGCTGACAGATGGACCAGCAAGGCTGCTCAACCTGGACTTGGATCTGTGGGTCCACTTGAATTGTGCTCTGTGGTCCACAGAGGTCTATGAGACTCAGGCTGGTGCCTTAATAAATGTAGAGCTAGCATTGAGAAGGGGCCTGCAGATGAAATGTGTCTTCTGTCATAAGACAGGAGCCACCAGTGGGTGTCACAGATTTCGGTGCACCAACATTTATCACTTTACTTGCGCCATTAAAGCACAATGCATGTTTTTTAAGGACAAAACTATGCTTTGCCCCATGCACAAACCAAAGGGAATCCATGAACAGGAATTAAGTTACTTTGCAGTCTTCAGGAGGGTCTATGTTCAACGAGACGAGGTGCGCCAGATCGCTAGCATCGTGCAACGAGGAGAACGGGACCACACCTTTCGAGTAGGAAGCCTCATCTTCCACACTATTGGCCAGCTGCTCCCACAGCAGATGCAAGCGTTCCACTCTGCCAAGGCACTCTTCCCTGTGGGTTACGAAGCCAGCCGGCTGTATTGGAGCACACGCTATGCCAATAGGCGCTGCCGCTACCTGTGCTCCATTGAGGAGAAGGATGGGCGCCCAGTGTTTGTCATCAGGATCGTGGAGCAAGGCCATGAAGATCTGGTCTTAAGTGCCACATCACCCAAAGGTGAGATCTGCCACTTAAGTGCGCTAGAGAGTGTTTTTAAGTCAGTGTTTCTTCATTGTTTTTCTTGTGTGCATTTCATATTTTATAACAGCAGATGAAGATTTTTTATTTACAAATACAAATCTTAGCTTCTTCGTGTTATCACACCATGCTCTTCACTGTACGGTTTTCTAAAGATGGGTGTATTTGTTTGTTTTGAGGTGCTAGGGATTGAACCCAGGGCCTCCTATGTGCTGGGCAAGTAATTTACCCCGAGCTACCTCTGCAAAACTCCAGCCACTTTCAAGTCTTATTTTGAGGCAGAGTCTCACCACATTGCCCATGCTAGCCTCAGACTTTAGATTCTCCTACCTCAGCCCTCCCAAGTAGCTGGGGCTACAGATGTGGATCACCACACGCAGGCACTATACAATCTTTAAACGGTATCACAGGCAATATATGTGTTAACATAGGAGTTGATTTTTAAAAGTCAGAATATTTATAAGTTGCCTTTTTTTTTCAGTTTGTAAATCTGTTTGTTTGTTTGTTTGAGAAAGGGTCTTGATACGTAGTTCAGGCTGGCCTTGAACTTGCAGCAGTCCTCTTGCATCAGCCTCCCAAGTACTGGGATTACAGGTATGCACCACCATGCTCAGCTATCAGTTTGTAGAAGACAGGAACTGTTGTTACTCAGTAAAGCACACTGAGTTATCTCAGGAATGTAAGATAGTGTACAAGTTTAAAGCTGGGAATTAGCCTTTTAATTTTTACTCCAGGGTAAGTCTGCATTGGCATTTTTATTGATGCAGAAAACACAGAGCTGCTTTAAAGTGTTTTTTTTTTTTATATCTAGGTGAGTTCGAGGCCAGCCTAAGCTACATCAGCTTGCATAGTCAGTGCAAGGCCAGTCTGAACTACACAGGGAGACCTTGTCAAAACAACCCCCCCCCCCAGTTTAAAAAATAAAGTTTTTTTTAAATGTGCAAAATGCTGTAAAGATGTTTCCAGGGCCAGGGATTTAGCTCAGTGGTTTCGCCGCCTGCTGCTCAAGCGCGAGGACCCGAGTTCGATCCCCGGTACCAAAAAAAAAAAAACGAAACAAATAAAGATGTTTCCAAAGAAAAAGTTTCCTGTTTTAATGTAGAGCTTAAGGGAAAGGAACACATCTACAGATCTCACTGGTTGGACTAAACATTTTTAAAGCAAGCAGGTTATTTGGCCATTAGGAAAATAACTTTTTTACATGAATTTCAGTTATCTTAAACTAACTTTTTCACTTTTAACTATTTGATGTCTGTAATGTGATATTATTTTCCCCCAGATTTCATAAGGTCTTAAAAATAAATGGCTGCCATTTAGTAAACAAATGCATTAGGTTCCTGCCCACAGGCTTTATTTGGAAACTAGCAAGTCTTTGGGTTTGACAATTCTGCTCCCTCAGTTTTATACTGTATTGTGTTTTCCTCTCTCTTTAGCCTAAAGCAAGTTTATTATAAAATTATTTTCTTGTCCATATGTAGGTGTTTGGGATAAGATTTTGGAGCCTGTTGCATGTGTGAGGAAAAAATCTGAAATGCTCCAGCTTTTTCCTGCATATTTAAAAGGAGAAGACCTGTTTGGCTTAACTGTCTCTGCAGTGGCACGGATAGCTGAATCAGTGAGTGTTGTGGTCAAGATCAAAAATTGCAGTTGTCCCTAATTCTGTGTGATCTCTTCACCCCATGCTGCAACACTTGTGGCCCTGCTAGGACTGATCTGAGCCTGCAGGGCAGGCAGGCATTGGTGCTGTGTGGAGGCCTTGCTAGAGAGGCGATGCACAGTCCTCCAGGCTGAGTGCAGACTGGTGCAGGACTCAGGCAGATAAGGAGACGCCTCTTCCCCCTGGCTTCCTGAGGTGCTCATGCGTTTATGTGAGTTAGGGTGCCCTTGTCCTGACTCGGGTGTGTGTGGCCTCTCTCCAGCCTCCTCCTGGGGGGAGTCAGTCTCCAGAGGGCAGTGGACTACAGCAGCACCTGATAATATCCTCTCCTACTCTGCCAAAGCATGCTTGGCACTGACTAACTGAACCATAGGTACACAGTACTTGTGAAAGCCATGTGACTATAAGACATTTTCAGGAATAAAAACATCACTGATGTGATTTTTTTTTGGAGAAGCAGAAACCCCAAAGCCACTGAGAGAAGGCTGATGGAGGCTGATTGCTTCCTTTAGAAGAGATAGTATGTCTAAATGATAAGCATCTTTTATGACTGTAGAAAAATACATTTCACAAGAAACACATTCTAGAAAAGACCCTTAACATACTCGTTACTAGACATTTATATGCCTGTGACATGGAGAGTGATGACCTCATACTGTCACAGTCACATTTGAAAGAAACAAGAAATGAACCAAAAAGAAACCATGAAAATGATTTCTAACTGTTCTTAATTTTAAAGTTCCAGGCACAGATATGAAAGTAAGCATTAGACCAGGTGAAAACCCTAAATTCCGAATCATTACACTCCCCATATTTATCAGATCCTGGAAGTCCACATGCATGGGCCTTGGTTCGCCGTGGTGCTGTGCCATTCTTTTTCTTCAGGGAGCATGTATTTGCTAGGGGTTGCCAGAGCTTATGTGCTTACACTCCCATAGATGAGAGTACAGGTAGCTTGCATTAGGTGAGTAAAAAAGCCCTTTGTTCTGTGGAAAACATTCCTACACTGATTTCACATCACTCCATCTTGAACCAGCCCCAGCGGTCTGCAGTGAGTTATCTCTTTGTGTGTTTTGCTGCTTTTCAGCTTCCTGGGGTTGAGGCGTGCGAAAACTACACCTTCCGATACGGTCGGAATCCTCTCATGGAGCTGCCACTTGCTGTCAACCCCACAGGTTGTGCCCGTTCTGAACCTAAAATGAGTGCCCATGTCAAGAGGTTTGTGTTAAGGTATTTTGTTTTAACTTCACATAGTACAGCCCAGGGTTTCTAAGCCTGTTTGTGGTTTTTGTGCCTGATTTGTCTGCTGCTTAAAAACCCTGCTGTCTCGGCTGTGTATGTGGCTGACCACCTCAGAGGTCGCACGTGTGTCTCTGCTGGGCAGCTTTCCGTGTGTTTCAGGAAGACTCTGAGTCAGCCTAGCTTGGAGCACCAGTCAGAGGTATCTTCAGTTTTCCTTTTGTTTCCTGTCACTATGCCGTCACCTGCAGGCCGCACACCTTGAACAGCACCAGCACCTCAAAGTCATTTCAGAGCACGGTGACAGGAGAGCTGAATGCACCTTACAGTAAGCAGTTCGTCCACTCCAAGTCATCGCAATACCGGCGAATGAAGACCGAATGGAAATCCAACGTGTATCTGGCCCGGTCTCGAATCCAGGTGAATGCTTGGCTTGGGATGAGGAAGAACAGGGTGGAGGCTAGAGATCTCAAGATGCCAGTAAGTCTCAGCATTGTGGCATCAAGGCTCAAATCTCTCCGTAGCACATGGGCTTGGGAGACACACTGAAACCATAGATATTCTCTCAGTAATTTAGTATAAAAAAGAATAGGAGCAAATAATGATGCCATAGTCTTAAATAACAAGACTGACAGATGTTTAAATTTCAGAAATAACATATTCCATAAAAAGTGTCATTTGAGTTCAGGTGAAACTTCAGGCTTGGCTTTTGATACCCAGGGGGTAACGTGTTTGTATGAGAAGGAGAAGCTGCAGTGTTGTGTGCACTCTGCTTCCCTCTAGGGCCTGGGCCTGTATGCTGCTAGAGACATTGAGAAACACACCATGGTCATCGAGTACATCGGGACCATCATTCGGAATGAAGTCGCCAATAGGAAGGAGAAGCTGTATGAGTCCCAGGTGCGGCTCTGCCGATATTATGTGAGCTGGGTGCCCCACCCCTGCCCCAAGAGTCCAGGCCAGACAGAAGCTGTGTCCACATGGCCTTGTGGTCCCCTGGTCTCTCTCTTGCACTTTCCTTTTTCCATGTATTGCTTACATAGATATAACTGTTGACCCACAAACAGCCTGCTAGCGTGACGCCTGCCATTGGTGCTGGGTACTGGTAAAGGTCCCATGACAACGAGGAACACTGTCCCCAGGGAGTGTGATTAGGGGCACTGGCTCCTGCTGCCCTCCTGTGGCGGAGGGCATTTCCAGCGCACACTGGTGACTGCCCACTGTCTCTTTAGAACCGCGGTGTGTACATGTTCCGCATGGACAATGACCATGTCATCGATGCGACACTAACAGGAGGGCCTGCAAGGTGAGGCAGGTGCCCCAGGAGTGGGGTTGGTGCTGGCAGAGAGAAGGTGGGGGTTGGGGGAGAGTGCTCACTGCAGCCTGGCTGTGAGTACAGAGCAGGCAGATGCGTTTTCCATGCTTGCTATAAAGTTTGTCTTTGTGCTTGTTTTATTAAGGGGAAATAAAATGTAATTGGCAAGCAGTGTTTCCTACAGATGGAAAGTTCAGAGTATTCTTTTAAGTTGTTTCACAGTGACTGTTTTTTGATGTGGTGGCTGCAGGTACATCAACCATTCTTGTGCACCTAACTGTGTGGCGGAAGTGGTGACTTTCGAGAGAGGACACAAGATTATAATAAGCTCCAGTCGGAGAATCCAGAAAGGAGAAGAGGTGAGGGGGAGGGGATTGTCCGTGTTCTGTGCCACTTTCCTTCTTCACGCTGCCACCTAAACTTGTGTTTCTCCACTGCTAGAAAAATTCTCCCTACTGTGTTTTGTCACCTGTCCTGTCTCATCCTTCAGGGGTCCAGGTGCCACCTCCCCCACATGGCAACTCTGAAAATACATAGTCAGTGTGTCCCCCCCCCCCACCATTCTGCTGTCCCATGAGCCCAGCATCCTCTGTCTCTTGGTGGCATCATCTCATGTCGTAGGCCCACCTTACGCTTCCGTGGCTAGTGGTGGCATTGCTCTCTGTGGAGATGCCTGCTGTTGGACTGGTGTGCAGGCTGTGGGAGGCTGCCTCTTTCGGTCCCTGGGGACATGGTGACTCATGATAACCCTGAGCAGGCCGCAGGCACAGATCGGGAACTGGATGCTCCAGATGAGATCTTCACACTGATGGTCCCTACTGATCTCAGATTCCCATGTCAGCTCTCCTCACGGTGTCATGCTGAATGCTGACCTTGACCTGTCTCTGTGCTCTCACAAGATGATGTTAGCCCCGTCCCCTCTGGGAGCTGTCCCACGTGTGGTCAGCCCATGGTGTAGTTGCCCCTGGTCCGATGGTGTGTTGGAAAGCGCTGGCAGAGCACCTGGCCCTGCACGAAAACAGCCGTGGGAAATATATTGTGAAGGCACTTGTGTATTTGAGTATCTTTTGGGAATCTGCTTTTTAATAACAGTCTGGCCAGACGTGGTGGTGAACACCTGTAATCCAGCAGTTGGGAGGCTGAGGCCACCTGGACAACTTAGCAAGATATTGTCTTGAAACAAATAAAAAGAGTTCAGTTCCCAATGCCTTCCCCCAGCACAGGCTTGGGACTCTCGCACATCTCTGAGCAGTTTGAGCAGAGACTGGGTGTGAGGACGGGAGCGCAAACCTGGCTGCCCCCTTCTGTTTGGGTCTTCCCAAACAAGTCCGTCTGCCTCACCACGCCATTGTTTTTCATAGGAGATGAACAAATGTCTGTGACACGCAGTGATGTCATTATTAGGAGTGGCTGCGCAGTGAAAGCTGATTTACTACTTTTCAGTATAGAAAGTCTTCCCAAATGGAGTCCTAGAGCATCCAAGTTAGGAAAGGCTAGAAATCGCTGGGCCCCTGGTCTCAGGAGGAACAGCAGGCAAGGCTTGAGCTGGGGAACTTGTGCCACATGTGAGCCACCTTGCCAGGCGGGTGGTCTGAGATGTTGGGAAGGCTTTGGTAACCCCTGATGCTGCAGATCCTTCAGACATCTTTGGTGAGGGAAGATGGAAAAGGAACCCAGGTGGTAGCTGGCAAGGGCAGACTCCTCCCACCACACCATGCCAGTGTCACTCATTGGTCAGGGTTGTGGGGCCTTCTAGGGTAGGGATCTGTCCCCACCTCCCCTATAGTGGTCCCCTGGCTCCCCAGCATATACAGGGACAGCTCTGTTCCCCCAAGACCTCCTTGCTAAGTCGAATTCATTTGAGAAATATCACTGGCTCCATTAAGGCGCGCCCTTCGTTGTTCTGTTTCTGAGGATCCCCATGGTCCCCTGGGACTGCAGTACAGCTGGTTTCCTTTCATTAAAGCCTGCTTTGCTTACTGGCTTTGAAGTACAAGGGAGATCGAGGCAGAAATGCCCCTGTTCCCTGTGCTGCTGTCTCACGCTGTGTCTTTGCCGTGGGCAGCTCTGCTATGACTATAAGTTCGACTTCGAAGACGACCAGCACAAGATTCCATGCCACTGTGGAGCGGTGAACTGCCGGAAGTGGATGAACTGATGCATTCCTTGCTGTCTCAGCGGGCGGCTTGCCCCTAGGAAAAGGCGACTCAACACGCCATTGGAAAGCTAGTTTTGTTTTCTGTTGTCCGACTTCTTCGGCAAAACAGCTTCTGGAGTGGGGGTTTCCTCAGCCTTCAGGTTAAGGAAGCCTGCGAAGCTGCTGGCCAGCAGTCCTCCTTGCTGAGGGTAAGCAGAGTCATAGATGTCCAGCACTTTTTTTCTTTCTTTTCTTCCTTTTCTTTTCTCTTTGTTTCCCTGCGGGTGGGTTTGTTTTGTTTTGTTTGTTAGTCTCACTAAGGAGAAACTTTTACTGGGGCAAAGAGCCGATGGCTGCCCTGCCCCAGGCAGGGGCCTTCCGATGAATGTAAGACTGAAATCACCAGCGAAGGGGATGTCCAGAGTGCTGGCCACGCCCACTAAGGGGCAGGGCCTCTAAGTGAAATTCGTGGACGCCACTGAACAAGGAATGTACCGAGATGACTTCCTTAGGGATAGAGCTAAGGGATAATAACTTGCACTAAAATACATTTAAATACTTGATTCCATGAGTCAGTTTATTGTAGTTTTTGATTTCTGTAAAATAAGAGAAACTTTTTGTATTTATTATTAAATAAGTGAATGAAGCTATTTTTAAATAAAAGTTAGAAGAAAGCCAAGCTGCTGCTGTTACCTGCAGAACTAACAAACCCTGTTACTTTGTACAAATATGTAAATATTTTGAGAAAGAATACAGTATAAAAATAGTTATTGACCAAATGCTACCAGGCTCTGCAGCAGCTCGGGTGCTTATAAAATGTCATAGGGATGTTACAATATAATTTGTGTTATTAAATATGCCATTATAATTATGTAATAACCACAATTTCAACCTGGAGTGTTTGGGGGTTTTTTGGAAACTACAGTCTATTATTACTTGTTTTATACACCTAACTTCTGACAGAACAGACTGTATGCTGACTACAACTTTTATAGATGTTTTGGTAATTTGAACTAATTTTTTCATATTATATTGTTGCATCCCTACTCCTTCAGTCAGGTTTTTTTTGTGCTTACAATTTGTGATAACTGTGAATAACTGCTTAAAAATACACCCAAATGGCTGAATTTTTTCTTCAGCAAAAATAGTTTTGATTAGAACTTTGTTCAGACCACAAAGAATCATGTACACATAATAGAATCATGTAGCAGGAACTTACCCTAACTTCTTAGCCTTCTATTTAACATAAAAATTTGAAAAAGAAAAAAAAAAGAGAGAGAGATGTGATTATGCTCAAGGCTGCAGGACTCCGGCAATAGGGTTTTTCGAAGATATAATTTTAAAATGTGTTTGTATGAACTGTTTGTTTACATTTCTTTAATAAAAAACAAAACAAAACACTGTTTTGTGTTTGCTTGTAGAAACTTAATCAGCATTTTGAACCAGGCTAGCTTTTTATTTTGTACTTAAAATTCTGGTACTGACACTTCACAGGCTAAGTATAAATGAAGTTTTGTGTGCACAATTCAAGTGGACTGTAAACTGTTGGTACATTCAGTGACGCAGTTCTGAACCTGTAATGTATATGGCATGATGTATTTTTATCTTACAGAATAAATCAATTGTATATATTTTTCTCTTGATAAATAGCTGTATGAAATTTGTTTCTTGAATATTTTTCTTCTCTTGTACAATATTCTGACATCCTACCAGTATTTGTCTTACCGGGTTTTTGTTGTTTTCTGTTCTGTATAATAGTATCTAATGTTGACAGAAATTGAATTTTTTGAAGTATACAGAGTGTTATGGGTTTTGGAGTTTGTGGACACAGATTTAGAAGATCACCATTTACAAATAAAATATTTTACATCTATAAAGCTGCCTCTCGTTCTGTCTCCATTGGGATTGAGCCGCTGGCTGGGGGCTGCCCGAATTCACCAACAGTCTCCTGTACCTGTCAGAATTCCACCTCTTGGTGAAACCAACTTGTTTCTCTTTTTCAGACGCAATGAGATGGAAGTTCAGTCTCCTTGTCATTAGCCACATGCTTCTGCCTTCAGTCAAATAAAGCAACTTGTTTCTTTTAAGGTATTTTTAGGGCTATAAAGCAGATGAAAAATTATTCTTGCTACCTTACTTCCTTGTTCAAAAGCCTGTTTTTGTTTGATGGATAAATTGATTCTCTTCTCCTTCTTTGAAATGGGCTCTCATTGTATTGCCTAAGCTGGTCTCAAACTCCTGGGCTCAAGTGATCCACCTGCCTCAGCCTCCTGAATGCTGAGACTACAGGAATGTGCCACTGTACTTGGTTTTTGTTTTTTTTTTTTTTTGGTACTGGGGATCGAACTCTAGACCTTGCTCTTGCAAGGCAGGTGGCGGAACCACTCAGCTAAATCCCTGGCCCTGATTTTTATTTTTTCCAAACTGCCCTCTAGACTTATTTTGTTTGGTAAAGACTTACTTCTGTCAGACTAAATATATTTAACATTTAATTGACAGGAACCCTGAGAATCAAAACTGCCCAGAACCCACTTCCTTAAATTTCTGAAACAGACTTTGAGCTCGTGTCTCCCAAGCACACTCTAACAGCAAGCTCTTCTATTGCTTGTTCTGAAGCTCTACTTGCAGTACCCGTCCTGGACAGTGTAAATGCTGTAGTAGGGCATGTCTTCAGCAGGTCATCAGCCGGGCCGTGTTGGAAACCTGCACTCCATCCAGCCTTGCCTGTCTGCCACAATCATACTTGGTGGCCAAAGATCAGACAGAAGGAACTGAGGCCTGGACCTGCACTCTCGCAGTGGATGCCAGCTCTTTCGTGCCCTGTCAACTTGAAAGGCAGGGAGGATCGTAGCCATCAGACTTAGTAAAACCATCCCCAGGAAGCAAGGCATGGGAGAAATCTGGGACATTCTAACCTGCTGATGGAGATGGCACAGGGACAGGACCTGTCCCACCAGGACCCAGGCAACAACCCAGACAATCCATGCAGAGAGGCCCGGGTGTGAAGGCAGGAGCAGCAAGACCTCCTCTCCCTGGCAGAAGGGACTCATCAGGCAAAGCCCAGTTGCTTGTTTTTATTGCCCAAATGGCTCTAGCACACATGGAGCTGGTGTCCAGGGCTTGTCATCTAGTGAGGTAGGAGAGAAAGGTGACTGAGATGCAGTCTGATAAGGCGGCTGCAGACAGAGGTGATGTACCTGTCAAGTGAAGGCCTGAAGAAGGAAGAGGAGCTGGCACAGGAGGGGCAGCTGCCTAACTGGCTGAGGAAACAGCATGTGCAAGGCCTCAAGCTCTGAAAAAGGTGGATGCAGAAGCATAGGGAAGGTGCAGCCAGACACAGGGCAGGGAACACAGAAGCAGGGCCCAATCAGGAAAGGCTCAGCCTGTCCTGGGCACAGAAAGCCAGGAGATGCTGGGACCCAGCTGTGCACAGTGACTCTGGCCATGCCAGAGCAGGATTGACAGTGGTTGAAGTGGGAGCCATAGGCTGTGATGCATCACTCTCCGTTGCCAGGGACAGTGAGAGGTGTCCTGTGCCAGGCAGATGGCACTAAGGATGGGGAGGTTTAGGAGCAATGGGATGCTATGCCAATTGGCTGCTCCACTTTAGTCACCCTAGTCCGGTTCTTTCCCCATCTGTGCCATCTCAGCCTCTCCCCGGCTCCAGCCTGCAGTCCCTGGGACACTGTCTGCCACTGTCACCAGGCAGATGGCACCTGACTTTCCTGTGACATGTAACAGTGTTGACTGTTGTCTTTCAAATCCTCTCTGACCCTTGTTTTGTAGACCGCCACCCTCATCTGCCAGAGTTGAAGGATTCCTCACCACAGCCTTTGGAGAGGACCAAGCATGTTCTCATCTCGAGGTGAGCAGACCGTGTTGTTCTGCTGGGACCCTCAGGTAGGGACAGGGTGCCGCCCACAGCCAGTGCTTAGTGCCACCTTCCAGCCCCCAGTGTGGGGCACTCGTCTTGTGGACTGTTTCCACACTGGCTCCTTGGTCTCAAGTACCCTCACAGCCTGCATTGGTTTGTGATATTCTCTCTGTTCTTAAGAGATTCAAGTTCTCAGTTTTGAAGATTGCTTTCTGGAGTCTCAGAAATTCTTACAACCCAGACTTTTTTTCAGCCATAAAATGCACCAGTATTTCCCTTTTTCTTTGGTGGCAACCTTTGCATACTTCATTGAGAAGAGTCCAGGCAAGTACAGAACAATCTATGAGTTCCTCTTGGAATTTATGCTCTGGCTCCACTTGAAGATTCTTCTCTGTCCTGCTGCATCAGCCCACACCACAAGCTCCTGTAGCCTCTTAGGTGTTAGCACTCCCCTACTTCTCTCAGCGCTGTGAGCCCACCTCATCCTTACCTGCAGCTCACTGGGGTGGTGACATTTCCAGCACTTTCCTCCCATGTCCTCACCCCAGACGTAATGAGCAGCTGCTCACACTCCTGCATGGTTACTGTTACTGCAGAAGCTTCCCTTCCCCCATGAGCACTGCTCAGCCAGTGTCCCCAGCTCCGGACAGGACTTGGGGAACTCTCAGGGGTGCTGTCCCAGGCTCTGACCCGAGTCTGAAAGAGCTGCTATGGTTTATACCTTCCAAGGCCCGGGGTCTGGTCCCAAGCAGGGTGCTGTAGGGGCGGTGGCAGGGACACCTTCGAAGGGGATAGTGGGGCCCCAATCCCCCTTCTCACTTCTCAGCCCTGAAGTGAGTAGTTTGCTGTGCCAGAGCTCCTTGCCATCACCCGCTGCCTGGCCACATACCCTTGGGATAGGGAGCCAGAAGAAATGGCTCTTCTTAGAGTCAATCCTCTCTCAGTTTGTCACGGTGCTGAGGCATCTTCTGCTTTCCTGTGGCTCACCTAGGAGGATCAGATCTTCCTCCTCCTTCCCAACAGAAGCAGTTTTTCTTTTAAGGGAATTAGTGACTTTTTTTGTTCCTATGTCCCTTATCCATTTCTAAAATTAATTTTTCCTACTTCTTCCTTGAGGTCTGCCACATTCTAAATCTTTAACATGTTCCCGCCAGCTTGAACCACCAGTGGTACATGCATGACTGTCCCATCAGTTGGATGGAACAAGTGGACAGTCATGCGTGTGCCATGGCTGTTCAAGCCGCCCGACAAATGATGGCCCTGTCACGAATGTGTTAAATTCTCCCATTTATTATTTTAGGTGACTTTCTTCGTGTCTTGCATGTTTTGGTTTAAGTCTGGTACAGCTTTGCTGTGCTCTGTAAGCATGTATTTGTGGAGTACTTCCATTGTAGAAATGGCATTTTGCTGTTTTTTCTTACCATAACTTTGTGTGCCTTAGTCTTGACTCCTATGTTACTCATCTGGTGAGCAGCAGCTCCCTGAGACACAGCAGGCTTGGTTCTGATAGCTCTTCCAGCTTCGAAGAGTGCTTTCTTCTGTCCAACTAGTGTCCAAAATAAACTATGTGGTTTCAAAACAAAAATAGTCACTTCATGCCTAGCTTCATGTCCCTCAACTCCAGCTTTCATCTTCCTGTTTTCATTATTTCTCTTATTCCTGTTTGCTTTTGTTCTGTCCCCTGCAGAAACCCAAAAGAGTTGGAAGGAAGTTGAACGCTTCCCCTGAGCACTGCAGCATCTGGCTGCTGTTCTCAGCTCTCCCCGAGTCTCTGTTCAGCCCTGCTCTGTCAGGGTTCTTCTGCTCTTGGAGTTGCCAGATGTGCTTCCTTTTCCCTCTGCTACACAAGGGTCAGGGAATGCAGGTCTTGGGGCTGCTGTCCTTCCTGGCCCATTCATTGGAGACTGTGAGGCTACTGTGTCACCTGGCTACTTTGAGTATGCCATCTGTGAGTTAGGGGTGCTTGTCTGCCTGCTCTAGTTCCTCTAGATGTGGGTGGGGAGATCAGAAGCCTCTGCACCAGCCTTCTCTGCAGCTTCCTCGGATGCCCTGTCTGGTGGCCTTTTCTTTTAGGTATCTAGTTGTGGGGTTTGTGTTTGCTGGCCTTGTACTTAGAGCAGTCCTCCTGAGTGCTGGAATTACAGGCCTGCACCACACCAGGCTACTGATTATGGTTTTAACTTGCATTTCCCAGGGACTGAGACTGAACACATTGTCATATCCTGAGCCATTTATATACTTTTTTATAATGACTATAATGACTTTTTTATAATGACATTTATATACTTTTTTTTTGAAATGACTATTTTGTCCACTTTAAGTGTTTAATTTTAAGCAGTTTATAAACTGGTGATCGTGTCTTGGTGAACAAAAGCTTGACTTTGATAAAGTTCAGTTTGTTCCTATTTTGTGGCTTCTTAGGAAACATTTGCCTAATCTAAAATCAGGAAGATACTCTCCCACATTTTCCTCTAAGAGCTTTATAATTTTTAGATCTGAGTCATCTTAAATAATTTTTGTGTATAGGAGGGAGAGGAATCAAGCTTCATTTTTGTCCACAGAAGTATTAAATTCTTCCAGCCAAACGTGCAAGTGGTTCCCTTTCCCCTTGAAATGTACTGTCTTCTTTGCCGGAAGTCAGCTAGCTTATACATGTAGGTATTTCTATTCCTATCAATTCCTCATCCTTAAGTCACAGCATGGTAATTTTGAACTGGAACAAGTCTTCCAAATTCATCCTCTTTGAATTATTTTGACCACTCTTAGTCCATCATATTTCCATATAAATTTTAAAACTGGATTACCACCTTCTACACAAAGCCTACTGGAATTTTGGTAAAAGATAGCATTACATTTACTGTCGATCAAATTGTGAATTAACATTCTAACAATATTGATTTTTCACCCCACGAACATAGTAATTTTCAATTTATTTAGGTCTTTAATTTCTCTCAGCAATGTTTTGTGCTCGTCATATGAATGTCACATGTATTTTGTTCTGTGTACCCTGTTACATATTTCTAATGCTACTGTGATTAGTGATGACAACACTAATTCAAATTTCAAACTGTTTGTTGCTAATAGGTAGAAAAATTATATTTCTTCTGTTGTTTTGGTACTGGGGATCAGACTCGGGACCTTGCACTTTCAAGGCAGGCGGCAGCACCAAGCTAAATCCCCTGCCCCTACAATTTATTATGTTGATCTTTTATTTATGGTCCTGATATACTCCCTAAGATACAGTCAACTTAAGATGAGTTATGTCTTGGGCCTGAGATTTAGCTCAGTGGTTCTGCCACTTGCCTTGCAAGCACAAGGACCCGAGTTCGATCCCCAGTACCAAAAAAAATAAATGAAATGAGTTATGTCCTACTAAACCTCACTGTAAAGTGAAAATGCATTTATTGTATACAATGTGCTCAGAACACTTACGTTAACCTACAGTGGGCGGAATCAGCCAACACAAAACCTGTGTTACAAGAGTGTGCTGAAAATCTTAAGGGACTTGCTCATATTAAGTACAGTGCTGAAAGTGAAAAACTGGATGGATGGGGGCACCTCTGCTGTACTGGAAAGCCAATAAATTAAGTAGAACCATTTTAAGTCAGGAATAGTCAGTAGTAGTATTTTTGCAGATTTTTAATTTAATTTTTTTTGAAGATTTTTTACATTCTTGATCATATTCTGCAAATATACATTTGCTTCTTTCTTTCCTTTGTGCAGCCTATTTCTTTTTCTGATTGTACTCCCCTGGTCAGAGCACCTTGCCAACTGGAAGAGATAAGAACGGGCATTCTTGGCTTGCTCTAATCGTTTTTCCCATTAAATGAGGCTATGGTAGTGTTTCCAAAGATACACTATATTGGCCTGAGCATTTTTCATTTCATCTCTAGTTCATTTTTTTCTATTATAACAATACATAGATAAAAACTATTACTAAACAGAGTTAATGTTTCACCCCCATGCAAAGGTGGAGGTTTTAAGAAAGCAAAGAGTGGTTTGGGAAGATTTGGCGTCCACCAAAATACACTGAAACCACAGTGGTACTAAACTCCGCACCATCCATGCCAATTTACTTTCTGCTGGGTTAGTCTTGTTGCCATTGCAGTCATTAAGCGTGGTCATGATTTCACTTAGGAAAGCAGGTTTGTAGGGCAGGAGCCAGGATGCCACCACGTGTGGAAGAGCTTCAGGGGCCACCTTGTCCTCGTCCACACAGACCTCGAGAGGTGTCGCGAGCTCTTCTGGTGGACCAACACTAGGGTGCCTGATGCCAGTGCTGCAGGGTTCGGAACGTGAGTTCTGTTCACTGTGCTTGCTCTTACTTTTTTTGATTTTTACTCTTGATTTTTACTGAGCTTTTTAAAATCAAAGAAGGATGGTGGATTCTGTTCAATGTTTTTTCCTACGCTCTTTTCAGTTTTGGCAATAATAAAATTGCTGTCCACATGTATGTTTTTGTATGGAGAGAACTTTTGGCTCCTTTGGGTGAATACAGGAGTTCAATGTGTTCTAAGGAAATGCTGTCCTCTGGAGAGCTGCAGCATTGCTCCACACCCTCTGAACATCTGTTGGCTGACATCAGGTTGCCGCACTCATTCTTGATGTCAGGAATCTGCTTTTTTTCTTTTGGCTAGAGGTTTATTAACTTTACCACTCCTCTCAAACCAGTTTGTTTCATTAATGTTGTTTTCTGTTTCACTCATTCCTTTTCTGATACTTAATGTTTTATTTCTCCTGCTTTGAGTTCCTGACTTGCTGTTCTCTTCTCAAAGGTAGAATTGAAACTTTTATCCTTTTCTAACATACGTGTGGAGTGCTATAAAATTTCTATGTACTGATTTAACTGTATGCCACAAATTCGTATGTTTTCATTTTCAGCCAGCTTAAAATTACCTTTTGATTTCTTCTTTGATCCACAAGGTATTCTGAAGTGTGTTGGTTAAGTATTTGGAGATTTTCTAGATATCTTTTGGTCAGATTTTATTACTATTCATTTCTAATATGCTTTGCATAACTTGAATTTGTATGCAGTTACTGTCTTGTTTATGTCCTGGGACACAGTCTGGTGGGGTGCTCCATAGACGCCAGCTAGTCAGGTTGGAAGCTGATGTTATTCTTGTTCCAGCTGACAAGTGTATTGAAATGGCTTACTATCATTGTATGTGTGTCTGCTTCTCCAAGTTTTTACAGCATGTATTTTGAACTTCTTTTATTAGGTATGTAAATGGGATTATTTTCTTGTGATAAACCTGTACTTATCATGAAGGGACCCTGTGCCATCCCTAGTAACAGTCCCTGCTGAGATCTACTCTAATACTACACAGCTATTCTAGAAATGTATGTTTAGCACTGAAAGACGTGTCTTCATATTTGTAGTTTCTTGTGAGCAGCCTACAGTTGGTCTTGCATTTTTTATCCAATCTGACAATCTCTGCCCATTTGGGTTTTTTTTTTTAATGAGACAAGAGTATCACTGTGTAGTTCAAACTGGCCTTGGACTTGCAGTGATCTTCCTGCCTCAGCCTCCCAAATACAGGGATTACAGGTATGTGCCACCAAGCCCCACTTCTGCTTTTTAACCAGAGCATTATTTTTTTTCTTCCCCAGTACAGGGGATTGAACTCAGGAGCTTGCACTTGCCAGGCAGGTGCAGCACCACTGAGCTACATCCCCAGCCCCAGAACAGTACATTTAATGTGATTATTCATGCTGTTGGGATTAAATCTGCCATCTTGCTGCTCTTTGCTTTCTAGATGTACCATCTAGTCTTTGAAGTCAAAGACAAAATATTTAGGATCATGTATCCCATAAGGTCCTTAACCTGATATGTAGTTTAGTTAAAATCACTGAGTTCTTTAACTATGAGGCAATGTCTCCTCTGAAATGTAACTTTGGCAGGGTGGGGGGATTCACATTATATTTTAGTACTTGTACTATACCCCAGACTTGTACCAAATTTTCTTCTAACTGGGAACCCTTCTGAGACCCTGACTTCTTATTTATTTATTTTCCCCATTAAGTTTATTGGTACATTTTAGGTATACAATATAGTTACATTCATCATTAGGATCCTGTACCTTTACATGATGTATCTTGGTTCTTATTTTTTCCCCATTTCCCTCCCCTCCCTTCACCTCCTCCACCCTTCCCTATTTAGACTTTGTTTCTATTTTCTCCTTTTCCCTTCTTTCCTTTCCCCTACCTTCCACTTCCCCTACTCCTTTAGACCTTTTCTTCCTATTTCACATTATCAGTTATACATTTTGATCCTTATTTAGTTTTAGTGTTTCATACCAGAGAAACTGTTCAGTATTTACACATGTGTGTCCTATTTCCCTTAAGAGCATGGCCTCAGTGTGCATCCATTTAGCCATAAATGTCTGAGACCCTGACTTTTGTGTCCCAGTTCGCACAGTGGAACACTTCCTGAAAGCTAGGAGCTGCTCCCAGGACTACTGGCTCCTCTACTGAATCCCACCTGAGCACCCACAAAGACAGTGCAAGCCAAAAAAAAAAAAAAAAAAAATCCTAAATAAATGCATCTTTTATTTTAAACATAGATAGTGCCATAAGTCATCAATAATTTACAATAGATAACTGCCTCTTAAATATGATGTCTCATGAAATTTAATGTGGATCAATTATTTTTTAAATTATCTATTTAGAACATAATAGAAAAAAATTGTCTCATTTCTTCTAAGAAAGAAAACCACAATTTCCTGATCAGATTAAAATCATTCCATCAGTAAAGGGGACTAAAAAGAAGCATAAATAAATGTGAATAGAAATGTCCATTTCCTGGCTTTGGCCTTCTATATAAACCCAAATCTTTAGAATTCAAATGATTTTCTAGTTTCCCTCCATGAGTGACAAATGTCCTACAGCAGCTTAGAAAGGACCTTGATATCTCCACCCAGGCAGGGGGTAATGTGGGCTTCTCCTGCCCAGCACATTCCTTCTAAAGCTCCCCTGGTACTGTGTTGCCCGTCAAGGTACTGTCCCATCCAGGGACTCCTAACCTTCTAGATGCCACTGCTGTGAGGAGGAGCCATCGCAGATCGCCATAGCAACAGAGCCCTTCTGGCCCAGGGGATCCACCACTTTCAGGCACTGTCCAACTGATACCTGGTATAGCCGGTTATTTTTCTGAAAAAAGGAAGCAGCAAGAAAAAATACCATCAGTTACTTGCTTTTACTTAAAAACACACACTGGCATAAAATGGTAAAGACACAAAGTACAAAAAAGGTATGGAGCCTGCCTGTGGGACCCTGTAGACCAGCCCCATGGTGAGACCTGAGCCCCACACCACTCAGCCAGCCTCACCCCCAAGGTCCACTGCTGCGATCCACCTGACCCATGGCACTTCATGAGGCGCGGTGGGTCTGATGAGCGAGTTTCTGACATGTCTAGACAAAGGAGGTTATTTAAAACCAATTCATGCTCTTCATTATAAATCCAGACCTAGAAAAAGGAAAAAAGATCACTAAGTTTTATCATAGATATTGAAATTCAGGACTGGCCAACACTAGAGATTTGTGGAAGAAAAGATGGATTTCTTCTCTGTGGTCTCAAAGCAGAAACAGATCAAAGGACTACACATCCAAGGAAGATTTCACTTTAGCTCGCTCAATGCCAGATAGCCAACAGGCAAAATGGACCATTTGCTATCATTTGGATCTGGCTGTCCCCCAGAGGATCTTGGTGTTATGGGCTTGGTCTTCAACTTGGTGTCCCTAAAGAGGACCATGGGATACCACACCCTTCTGTTCCTGGCCATGAAGTGAAGGGGCTTCCTCTGTAAGGTACTCCCATCACAGGACCAACAGGACTGGGCCAGCCAGCCACAGACAGACACCTCTAACATGGTAAGCCAAAGTACACCTTTCTTCTGTTTAAGGTGAGCTGCTTGGGTATTTTGTTACAGTAATGGAAAGCTCACTGACCCTGCTGTTCTCAAAAGAAATGTGAGCAGTGATTAAACTTTGCTGACAGGATTTAAGAAATCTTCCAAATTCTAGGGGTTTACAATTTGTGATCTTCTTAGTTCATGGTCTGTGTACGACTTGGAGGAGCTGCTGGCCTGCCATCTGAGGACAGAAACAACATTTATGCTTTCACACAGCCTTATCTGCTGAGTGATGAGGTGCATAAGCTCTCACATCACATGATTCTCCAGAATACTCTGGAGCATAACATTAGCAGTGAGAAGCAGGAATGAATCCTGGCTGCCCTGCAACAGGATTTCTCTAGTGTGCAAATGTTCTTTCTTTCAAGAACCTGGGTCTGCAACTGGCTGTAAGTGCAGTGAATAGTTTTCTTCCGGGGACCCAATCAGCAAGCTCACAAGGAATTATTTCCTTCTTCCGCTCCCCTTGTGGCCACTTGTATTGAAGACCCAAATGTGTGCAGAGCAGACACCATCAGACCAACAGGAAGGTGTAACTGAATGGTCTACACTGCTGTTAACGTTTTATAACCTGCCTGTCCACAGGAAGCTGTTAATTCTGTTCAGCTCACTTTAAAGTCACACATGGCTACAGTATTAGCACAACTCTCCACAGCCACAACTTAGTATATTTGGGATAGTATCGTAGGACAGTGTAATTCTACCTCCCCAGAGTTCTTACATTCCAGCTACATCAACCCACTGTGACCTGCATCCCTAAAATGTCACTGTAATTCTAAAGCCCAGTGTCCATACACTGCCACCTTTCCTACCAGAAATGGCTCAAAATGTTTTAAACCATGTTTTCCAATATGCACATTTCACCCTAGATACTGTGCATGAATCCTCTGAGAAATAAAACATATTCTAGGAAATTTCAAAGTACACTGTTTACCCAAGAGATTTTTCATTCCTGTGTGACACCAATGCACCATTAAAATAAAAATAAGAATGGCTCAGGTCATGCCATAAGCATTTTAGTCTTGAGATGATGAGATTAGGTCACTGTTAGCTTAATGTCACTTTCAGGGCCATTTAATATTGAAAAGGCATATACTGACTTTCATGTGAATGAAATGAAAATGCTGCTGAGGTTTCCTTTGATGAACCATAAAAATCAGTCAAGGAAATTTGATTTGTGAGAAGACTATGAAAGATACTTGGTTCATCTAACACAGATTTAAAGGTTCTAATCCAAGGAGGTACACTTCCTTTAAACTCATATAGCTTAGGGTTAGGGTCAGGGTTATAGCCTTTAAGTCACAATCCAGTCCATGTAACACTGGAAAGTACTGACTGGTTTAAATAATTGAAATGTCACTATGACAATGAGTAGAGGTAGGAAAAATAGAAGACAAAAGTAGTTATCCAAGATGATGCTAGGATCATTCCCAACTTGTAAGAAAAGTCAGACTATTAATCACGTTAATCATGTTGATGCCGGCCTGGCTCTCCCCAAGGACCACTCACCTGAGCTGGGTCTTCATAGTCGCAGGCCTTAAGCACCACGAGGCCTCCCTTCTGGCTCGGGCGGCCCTGGGCAACCAGACATTTGTTGGTCTGAAAGTGATAGAGCTGTGAAAGAGGAGGGAGCACTAGATTACTCAGCATGCAAAGGCCGACTGAGGTCAGGAGATGCTCCAAGTGCTCATCAAACGATGAGCATTCTTTCTTCCAAAGTTCTAACAGATGCAGGCAGTGTCAAATAGAAATTCTAGCTAAAAACACATTCACTATAAGTTAGGGATGAAGGAAATTAAAATATCATCCCAGGGGTAGGGGTTTAACTCAGTGGTTCCGCCGCCTGCCTTGCAAGTGCAAGGACCCAAGTTCGATCCCTGGTAGCCAAAAAAAAAATCATCCCACCTTGAAGAACCAAAAAATGAAATCAAGGAAATGAGACCAAAAGGAACAAAATATAGCAGGTAATTAGATGTTAATACCCATGCTGACCTGGCAGTGTACACAGGTAAGCACCAGAGTCCAGGGGTTTCAGCCACAAGGACACGCATGGGAGGGCCTTTCCCATTGAAAACACCTAATATGTTCATGGAAGTAGCCATGCTTCCTTCCTTTTAAGGCCAACAGGGAAAGATCTTGAGCAAAAGTATTAAAATTTTTAAGCTCTTACATCTGAGTAGAACGTAAGTATAGTTAAATCTAGACTTTTGTTAAGTCCGGAGGTCATTTATTACAGCTTAACACCATTCCCAAACTTTGAAACTCAGGGTTAAGGCTACTGCTCACCCGTCCACGCTGCAGGACTCTGGGGCGCTTGGGCCCTCTGTTGACAAAGACAGGCTGCTGGGCTTTGGCATTGGGCCCCAGGATCTGCATTTCTGGGTAAATGTTATCCAGATACCATTTGAATGACTGGCAGCCCAACTTCTTCCTCAACTCAACACGTTCACTGATGTTTCCGTAGCTTTTGGTCTTGAGATCAGGTCTTAAGGAAAAATACTGCTCCTGGATTTTAAAAGGATGAAAAGGATTTTTTTCGGTTTAAAGGACAACTGAAATCAGTGGGTTATGAACAAAAGTATTTTTCATTTCAGTATTTTCTTGGTGATGCAAGAAAATACTAGTGGAAATGTTCTACACAATTAAATCTGTTACTGACATAGTATGACGTGTGAAATGATATAATACATCCCAGTTTCAGAAAGAGCAAAAGGTATAAAATTGCAGTGGCTCTCAAAACTCCTTGAACTACATCACATATTCTTAAAAATTACTAAGGACAGACCCCTGCCAGCACACAGGAGGTGAGCTGCGCAGGCACGAGCAGCAGCCACTCCCCTGCGTCGAAATGAGAAGACAGGTAAACAAGTCTCAAAACGAGACTTCCAGATCACCTACAGTCACCCCAAAGGGAAACGAGATGGAACACTCTGATACTCAACGAGCTGGAATCCCTGAACTGGCAACAAAAGAGGATCTGGAAAAAATGAAATCATAATTTCTCAGATAACAGCAAAGATTTTGGTCATAGTGCAAGACATGATTAATAAATCTAGAGAGGAGCTCAGGAACACAATGCAATCCCAACATAGGAAACAAATGGAATCCATAAAACAGATGCAAACAGATTTCCAGATTAAAAACTCCACTGAAAGTCTACACAGCAGAATGAACCAATGTGAGGACAGAATTTCAGATATAGAAGATAAGATTGCAATTAGTGACCAGGAAAAGAAAAATTTCTTTAAAATTGTAAGAGACCACGAAAAATCAATCCAGCACCTGCTAGACAATGCAAAGAAGAATAACATAAGACTGATCAGAGTCA